TAATTTGTTGTATTGAGAGACATGCATGGTAATTTACCGATACCGTACCGTTACCGAACCGAAACTTCGGTATACCGAAATGCTGACAAATTTCAATTCAAGACTAAGCTATTTTTCTGTCGATAAGGACTCGAGGTTGTTGCATCCCCATCAAGAGTATTCCTCCTCTTGCTTGGGTTCAGGGGCAGCTCTGTGGGGAGGGGGGGGGGGGGGGGGGGGGGGAGGGGATGTACGAGACTAGTTATAGGAAAAGTTTTGGGGGCCGCCGGCCGGTCCATAGTTTCTGGCGGAAGGGGTGTAAGTTGCAAGCAAAGTCTTGAGGACATGGACGATCGGGTGAGGCTGTTTTTTTTTATAATTAGGAGGACGTCCCGTTCGTTGGCCAGCCAAAAAAGACCACTCAGGGCCGATCGGGCCAACTGCGAAGGCCCAAAATGCAATAACCCAAAGTATGGGTGGACTCGGGCCGGGTGGCCCGACCCGGAACTAGCCCAGGACTGGTACTGTTCCGGCCCAGCCCGAACCGCTGGCCCGGCCAGGGACCGGTCCGGGTAGGCCCGGCCCGGTGGTTTTACGGTGCGGGCTCGGGTCCCCCAAATAATGAACCGGCTGGGCCCGGTTCCGAGACTTTTTTTTTTTTTTTCTTTTTTCAATTTTTTTATTTTTCTGGGTTGGGCTGGGTGTTTTGGGCCATTTGGGGTGGTTTGGGGGTGGGGGTGAGGGGGGATTAGGGGATTAACTAGAAAAAAAAAAGGAAGTGGCCCGAGGTCTGGACCGGCCTGACCCGGACCCGCCGGCCACCTGGACCGATTCCGCTTCACACATTTTCAAATAAAAGCCCGGACGGGCCCAGGCCCGAACCAGAACCGGCCCGAGTCCACCCATAACCCAAAGAGATATTACCCAAAATAAGACTAAAAACGTTTGTATATTCCAAAATAGGACTATCATGTTTTTACTTTCAAAATAGGACTAATTACTGCCATGTTTTGGCAGTACCAGACTTTAAACATGGTAGTATTTTCCAAACTTGCAGTAATTACTCCTATTTTAGGAATAAAAACATGACAGTCCTATTTAGGAATTTTCGTACTTTTTTACTCCTATTTCGGGAATTTTCCCTAACCCAAAGCCTGAAAGCCCCAAACTAGTGAAACAAACCAAAGCAGCGGACCACAGTCAACGCAATCGGCAATAGCTCCCAGCATCTCGCAGTGGGCCATGACGCAGCAGAGGCACCTGCTCTAGTGCCAATTACGTAGTATAAATACGGATGTGCACCCCAAAGGGGGTGAATTATGGCCCTCTTCAACGTTTGTGTCTTTAAAATCTTTTCATGAATTACCTATTGGTAAATCGATAAAGAAAAAAGTCGAAACCCTTGGTTTATACTTTTCATTAAGATTGAAGGATTCAGCCTTCACATATGCTCGTTTGAGTAATAGAATTTGAGATGGAAAGTTTAAAGATCTAGTGCAGTGTGTGGATTATTATATTTAACATTTAAGCACAAATAAATAGTGGTGTAAAAAATAACGCAGTGAAGAGATGACATTGTGACTTATACTAGTTCAGGAACCTCCATCTCCAGTACCTAAAGGCATATCCTTTACGATTCCATGAGCCACTAATCTTATTGTCTTGTCAAACCAGATCAAAAGCACTGCAAGGAACGCCTTGGCAAACACACACTTTCTTATGGGTAGGGATTCTTCAACTCATCTCCTCAAATGTATGAGGATTTGACAACAGATCTCCTTGACCGTAATGATTTCTCAACGCATCTCCTCCATGATATAGAAATGAGATATACAAAGGGGTGTGTACTGAATGTTGAAGCACAATTACTTCTTCAGCCTGGATGTAGTGGTGGACTCGGGCCGGGCCAACCGGCCCGGAACCGGACCGGCCCGCTACTGTGCGGGCCCGGACCGGCCCGGTTTGTTGGTTAGGTCACGGTTCGGGCCACCCGGCCCGGTCATGTAGCGGTTCGGGCCCGGGCTTATAATTTGGTGAACCGGCCCGGGCCTCAACGGTCACAAAAAAAAAAAAATTTTTAAAAATTTGAAGGCTCTACTAGCCGTTGGGAGACCTCCCAAACGGCTCTATAGCCGTTGGGAGCATAGGAGGGGGGGTCTGGGGGGTTAGGGGGGGTGGGGTGGGGGTGGGGGTGGGGTATACAAAAAAAACCTATTTATACTCCTATTTTCTATACATTTTTTACACCTCTTCTTCTACAACTCTTTCTACTCTCTAAAATCTAAATTCTCTATTCTCTTAATCTCTCATATTCAATCATCTTCATTCTTCATCTTCTCCAAATTCTTTCTACATATATATAATTTATATAATTATTATATCTACTTATATATTATAATATTAATTATCTACTTATAAATATATACATATACACATTCATATTATAATTCTTTACGCATTATATTATATACTATATATTGTTATACATATATATTATATATTACTTATAATATATTTACACATTATATATTTATATATACTATATATAGTTATACATTATATTATATATTACTTAGAATATAGAAAAATTTAAATAGGCCCGGCCCGGCCCGTGAACCGGGCGGGTGACCCGAACCGAACCGGACCCGGGGTTATCCGGGCCGGTTCCGGGCCTGCCTTCCTAGAACCGAGGCCCGGCCGGGCCCAGGCCCGAACCGGGCCCGAACCGGCCCGAGTCCATTCCTACCTGGATGGATACAAAGAACGTAGAGAATGAGTGTAGAAGAACGTCTAGTATACTCTAAGCACGTGCTTACTTCGCTGCTAAAGTCACAATTAGTTTAGTAAGACAGATGAAGTAAACACGCAGGCTACTTAAAAAGTCGCTTGCTAACCGAAAGAGGCGTTTAAAATGTTGTTTACTAAGCATACCACTCCTCCATGTTGATTAAGCCGCACTTTAAGTTTTTTCAGTTTCCGAATTTACCCCTTATTGTTACCCATACCCTACCCCTAACCATCCCCCTACCTTACCTCAACTCCACCCCTATCCCTACCCTACCTTATGAGGTAGGGGGTAAGGGGTTAGGGGTACATGGGCTGAGGATACAGGTAGAGATAAGGGGGTATGGGGCAGGGGGTATGGGTACACTAATAAGAGGTCGTGGTAGGGGTAGGGAAGGGGTAGGGGTCAAGGGGCGGGGTGTGGAATTGGGGGTAGGGGTGTTGGGGCTGGGGTACGTGTAGGGGTTAGGGGTAGGACATGGATAGGCGCAGGAGGTTGCCCCCACGTATTATATTATATACTTGTGTACATGAATGTTTGTGTATCTATATATGTAGGGTTATTTTGAACATTTAAATGTTAAACGGTGTTTTAAATCATTTGAAGTAAACATGAGCTTACAATACTTAGTTTATGTGCCGCTTACTAACGCGAATCTTAATAAGCACTTTTTAATAACCTTTGAAGTAAACATGTCCTAATAATAATAAGGATCAGAAATCTAGAGATGTACAAGTATATTAGAGTTTAAGTAAAGCTTGACAATGATGCGCAGTACCTCTTATGCAGCTAGATGTGAAAGTGATGAACATGTGTTTTGCTTAATCTACCTATTTAATTTCGTATCTCAACACTTACGGAAAGAGTGTAATAAGTGACTAATGTAGAGCTTAATGGAAATTAGTATTGAATATTAAAGTGAACTTTCAAAGTCTTGCATAGTTATTGAAGTATAAAAGGGTGATGAGTATTTACGGTATTTGAAACCTTTAATTAAGGTAGATATTATTTCATATTGATTAGAGCATGATAGATAGTTTAATTCCCACTGATAGATAGGTTTATTAACACTACAAAGGTCTTAAATATAATATCAACTATCTGTTCAAATTCAAATTTGCATAAACCTCTCTCTATGTACAAATTTGTATAGTGGTGTAGTGAACGGCCCACGTGTCAGGCGTTCAATAGATCGTTGCGGCCAATGATCATTCATCCAAACATGGCAAGACCGTGGTCAACACGTAATTAAGTTGATCCCCAATTTATTTACATTAAGCCCAAAACAGTTTATCAAATGGCCCATGAGCATAAGTTGGTATGTGGGTTGATGGATATATATTATCCAGGACCGGGGTACTCAAGATGATGTATTTCTTGTATTGGGCCTAGCCCGTTCTTTGTATCGGCCAGGTGGCATATCACACGCCCAAAGGTCCCGTTTATTATTTGTGTATTCCTTGTATTGGATCTAGCCCACTATTTCCTAGGTTAGCCCGTTTTTCCTATAAATAGGCTCTAGGCCTATCTTGTAAGGGGGATTCATAATTTTACACTCTACACGATCTCTATAGCATGTTCTTTCTCTCCTTCTTCTTCTAGATCTAGGCAATATAGATCATCATGGGTCATTTTCTGAAATATGAACGGCAATTGAAGTCCAAGTTCAACTTGAAAATCACGCAAGTCTGAAATAGACCGTGATAGGCCCATGGGCTTCCATTTAGTGGACCACTCGACTAAAAATTACTTATTCTAAAATTCTGTTTAAAATATGTTTAGAGCGCATAAGTGGAGTACTAGTACTTAATTGTGCGATTATTCTGAACATGGCTCAAATCAAAGGAATTACTTATCGGGTTGAGTTGTGTTTAACAGTCCGAGCCAATTACTTTGGGTTCATAGGATTTTAAAAACATTATCCCAAACAAAATTAGTATGTTGAGCTGACCAATGGCCCACAAGCAAAGATGGGTCATTTGGCCCACCGCCCATAGGAGGGCCGAAGGATTGATCCGCTTGTGGACCATAATGATGATGCATCATCAACAAGACAACAATAGGTCTAGAAAGAGTGTTTACTGTGAATGTGATATACTCAAAAGTTTAGGAAAAATTCTAAAGGTACACACTTTTTGGTGTACACGCTTTTTACACATGTCCGTGTAAGGTTTTTTTTATGTCTGTGCAGACAGAAAAAAAATCTTACACAGACATGTGTAAAAAGTGTGTACATCAAAAATGTGTACCCCAAGTCCAACTCAAAGTTTAGAGGCTACATTCACTGCTATATCTTTATTGGATATTGTAAATTAATTGGCATGACACACTGATCATTACAGTATTTTCCGCATGACCTATACAATTATGTCTATAGGTATGTATCATCCAATCAAAGATGAAATGTGAAATCTTACTTCCTCCTTACATGGGAAGGTGAAAGCAACTGCATTATTTTCTCAGTATATCACTTCCTTTCGTACTCATTGATTGTATCGCAAACAACAAATAAAGCATACCCCCTCCTCAAAACCAATAAAAAACAGAGGACTTCTCTTCTCTTGTCCTTCATCAAGAAGCTCTAGGATCCATTCCATGCTGCCAAACATAAACAAGCTCGTCCCAACCCGTGCTTGCCAAAAGCCCTTCCACGAGAACACTCATATCCACCCCAACCGCAAACTCAGTGTGATGATCATACCTTCCAATAAGAGCATCTTCCACCATATAGTCCCACATACAAACCGTCATGTCATAAGAACAAGACAAAAGAACACTTCCTCTATGTGGTGAGAAGCGCACTTTCCTAACTGCATACCCGTGCCCATTAAGCACAGATATCGGCACCCTGTAGCTCCTCACATCCCAAACTTTTATTGACTTGTCGACCGATGCAGTTGCTATGATACATTCATCGTACTTGTTCCAATCACATGAGAGGATTTCATGCGCATGTGCAGGCAGAATCATGGTTGAACCTGTAAAAAAGATCATGAACTACTTATCTACCAAGACCAACCCAAGTTAGTTGTAAGAGAGACATAGCTTCTGAGATGTAGAATGCAAGATTTCCATCCAGCAATCAAAAAATAAATAGCTTTCAAACATATAAGTGAAGTTTCACTTCCATTTTCAGCTATAGAAAGCAGTTTGTGTGATTAACTTAACTCATATAACTCCACAGCTTTTGAGCTTCCAAGTAATGAACTTTTCAAGACCTATCAAGCACTTCCCCTCTTTTAGTTACTATTTAGTGGTCAAAACAAGTCTTCTTTTTTATTTGTTCAATTTCTGTAACAATTTTTTCCCATAACTTTTAGATTCACTTTTGTGTGATTTAAAATTCATTTTTATTTAGTTCCCAAATGTATAAGTTTGATTCACTGATACTATAACAAAATATAACTCCCCATTTTCCAAAATAAAGTTCCTAGTTTGACTTGGGCGCTTATTCAGAATTGCAAAATAGTGTGTTTGAAATTTAATTTTACAGCAAAATATAATCAACCACACAACTATTTCACCAAAAAGAAGCAAGAACCTTGTTTCGGGACAGACAGAAAAGAATGACATAAACCATATGCCGGGATGGAGAATTGATTATGCCCGTCTTGCGTCCTCATTCATGAATCATGAGTAGGAAACATAAAATACCACTCAGGTAGTAAGTATTTAACTGCAACTTTCCCAGTAAAACTATCATTTCCACCCCCCACGCATAGAGAGAAGACTGTTCTAAAAACCCATGTCTTGTTCCACCTAGGTGCTTTCTGATTTCTTATCTTGGACCCATCCAAGCAACCAAATTTCAAAAGCGCCCCATTTGTAACCAATTTATTTCTTAGGGCCAGTTTCAAAGTAACCAAAGCATCCTCTACTACTATACACATTTTCAGCTCTAAGCAGATTAACTGTTGTTTTAATTTGTTGCATTTGAAACTATATACTTCGTCTATTACTCAGTAGGATGCTACTGAAACGAAAATGACTACATCCCAAACGAAGAAAAAACTGGAAATAGAAAAACAAAGGCAAAAACCTGGTTCCCGGACATCCCAAATACGGGCACTGCAATCGCCGGAAGCTGAAGCAAACACATCCGCGTGTCTCGGGTTCCATGTGGCAGAGTACACGCAGTAAGCGTGCTCCTTGAAAGTCCTTACGCTGGCATTCCTATCAACGGTCCAGAGCTTCACCGTATCATCCCAAGAAGCCGACAAGAACGAGTCTTTCCGGACTGTGTTGTAGTCAACGGCGTGGACTTCTCTGGTGTGCTCTTGGAACGATCGTATGGGGTTGTTCGTGGGCGGCAAAGCGAGGTCGTAGAGCTTGATTGAGCCGTCACCCACGGCTGCGATGATTAGGGAATCGTGGGCCTCCGACCAGCACACGTCGTACACGCTGTCGGCGGTGTCGAAAGCGGCAATTTGGGAGATTGGCCCGTTTGGGTTGAGCTGGAGGACGTGGACCCGGCCGTTACCCAAGATGCCGAAATTCTGGGCCGTGCCGACGGCTAGTTGGTTCTCATAAAACGGGCTGAATTTCACAGAGTAGCCATTGAAGGGTGTCTTGAAAACCGGCATTTCCTTTCTGCGGTTAGCTCCTGGCCTTGCGGGTGATAGTGGTGGATTTGTGAATTTTATCAGGACCTTTTCCCCTGTTTCAGCCTTTCAGATGCAGTAGCCGCATTCTCAATTTTTGACCTTTGGTTTTGTTTAAATAAAAAAATAAACATGGGGAAAAAGTGCAAAAAAATATAATTGTGGTTTTATTTTCTTACAATAAATACTTCTTCCGTTCCGTTGGAATGTTCCCGGTTTGACCTATACACATATTAAGGAAATAAACTTACCAGGTGGTAAATTTTACCGTTTTAATACTTTTTCGAAACTGTTTGGCACTGTTTCGACACTATTTGACACTGTTTTGCACTGTTTGACCCTGTTTTGATGTAGGATAACTTTCCATTTAGGGAAATGAGAACTTTCCAACGGGACATCCAAAAAACGAAAGCGGGAACATTCCAACGAGACGGAGGGAGCAATAAATAATGGAAAAGTACGAATAGGAGTTTGAGATTCATTTTCTCACAAAGTATGAAATGTGTTTTTAATTCGTTAGCACGCATGAAGCCTATGTCTAAACTCTGTAAAAAAGAAGGTGACACGTGATTTTTTTATACATTCATGTCATCTTCTCTTTTTTACGGCGTTTATACGGAGACCCCTACTTTGAAAACACCTTCATCATTTTGTGAAAATATGAATATCAAACTCGTTTTTTTAAGGAATTTTATCAATTCATGACTCGAAAGATAGATGAATTATAATACTGAGACCCGAAAGATGATATGTATCGGTATAGAACCCGAATGATGGAAAACAATCAATATAAGACCTAACATTTCATAGGTTATGGTTTATTTAATTTTTTATTAATTCCATTGCTAGTTTTTTATAACTTGTCTTTACAAAACTTTATTAGTTTATTAAAACTAAATGATATTTAAAATTTTCAAAATTAAAAAATTAATACAATTTATGACAACTTAGGCCCTAGATCGATAATTTTAAATCATTTAGGTCCTATAATGATATTTTTTCATCATTCAGGTCCTATATCGATACATTTCATCTTTTAAGTCCCATATTGATAATTCATCTATCTTTCGGATCCTAAATTGATAAAATTCCTTTTTTAAAATGCGGACAAACATAAGTATCTTTTTTGTACCTATTTCAATAAATAAATTGGAGAAAAGATGGTGACAACACTTCTCCGTCCCACTATCCTTTTAGAAATAATGACCTCAATACTAGTAATAGTCTTTTGATTTCCAAAAATATGACTCTGTGGGAATTTTCCATAAAAGTGATTTATCACTATTTATGAATTGCCCTTATCTCTTTATCCCATCCGCAGACCAATTTCATCCCATTTGTCTCGCACCATCATCGACCCCTCACGTACTCCACTAGGCAACAACGAAACATCAGCCGTGTCACGCCCCGGACCTATCCGCACACGTCAACAACCCGCCGTACAGTACGAATAGTCAACCGCAGTCCAACACATTCATACTATACAAGGCGTCTGGAATATCATTCAACACATAGTATATCCATAAACAAACATAATGTAAAAACATTCATTAAAGCAGCGGAAACAATATTACAAGTGTTCAAGCCACACTTGGCAAAACTAGGCATACAAGCCTCCAAATGATTGTTCAGAAAATAATATCCATGAGCATTATTATAATTGTTTTTGAAATAGAAACGAAGGAAGCACGAACCACGTTTTCTCTCCTAGATCTTCCCGAATTCACGGGCCTTGGTAGCAAGCTCAGCTCCTACCTGAAACTGTGAGGTGGCCTCCCCCGTAAAGGGAGGTCAGTACTTGGAAGCATTTGACAAGTACAATGACAACTATACTAAGTATAATCAATGTTTCAATTTCTAAGACCCTCAATCTAGGGTGATATATATAGGTCATAACCCTCGGTTACCCCTTTTAAAATAATATACTTACTTTATATAAAGTCAAGTAGTCGGCCCATGGGCTCATATTCATTTAGAATTCACCATTTTAATTCCCCGTGACTACAAGTCACGACAAACCCATAGGGTTCCCTCGAGCCCCGATTGTATAGCAAGGGCTCGGCCCAACTACATTTCTATACAACCCTTCAACTCAATTTAACACATTAAAATTGTATGGCAAGGGCTCGGCCCAACTACGTTTCCATACTAACCATAACTTCGTGGCAAGGGCTCGGCCCAACTACGTTTCCACGAAGATCACAAATACATGGCAAGGGCTCGGCCCAACTACATTTCCATGCGATCCTAGAGTCCGACTCTAATTTATTTTCATAGTTCAATTCTCAAGCAAATCCTATGCATAGAATCAATTCACTTGGGTAGCCTTTAGGCCTACCCCTAACACACCTTAGTGTTCATACAATTCGACCCTAAAGTATCTCTTAAGACTACTTAAGGCATCTCTATGCACAATCCTATCTCTTAGGATTAATTCCATCATTTATTTATATTACTCCCCCGACTAGTATTTCAATACTAGTCGGATAATCTTAGAACAACCAAGTTCTTAATTCATAGCCAAATAATTCATCTCAATTGATTTTCAAATCCAAATATGATTTAATCTCAATATCAAAAATATCACTTTTATCCATTCATGAATTCCTTACATGAAGTAAAAGTACATTTTATCACAATATTTTCATAGTTAACTCCGTTTTCATGTCATTCCTTTCATATCACATAATCATACACAATTTCTTCCAAATTTGTATATCATGCTTCACTTCTCATATCCATAGTATTTTCATTTTGGCATTATTAATCATTAATAATCCATGAAAATCACATTTAATTACCTTAGGTAATCTTATGAAATTAACTCACTAATTATAAGCAATATAGTCTGCCATCCTCACCTTACGATGTGCTCAACTAGCTGCCTTAGTGAAACCCTCGATCCGTCCTCATTCCAGGCTGATCGGAAATGGAAAATCTGGACAGTGGGTGAAAGCCGGGTGGCTTTCGTGAAAGCTGGGCGGCTTTCGGGCCTGCAGCTCGAAAACAGTCCCCAACAATGGCGGTTTTCCGGCGGTTTCGACTCCTATCGATTCCACAACTCCTCTAAGTTAAATACCACCATTTTATATCAATATTCTACACTTTTAAACGTGTAGAACATCACGTTTAATCCATTATATGATTTCTTAAAAATCATACACAATTAAACTAATTAAGGAATGTTTATTGAGTTCTTACCTCAAACACTACCCTTTTCTCCTTGGATTTCCCCTCTTCTTGCTTCCTTCAAGCTTGAGCTTTGTGAGAGTATCCTAGAGTTCTCTTTCCCTCTTGGTTTGGGAGGTTCGAATGACTCCAATGATAGGAGGCAACTCCTCTCAATCAAATGGGCAAATGTCAATGGGTAGGACATGGGGTATGGGTGTTTGTCCCCAAGAGACTTCCCCCCTTGTTCTCATCCGCACACCCCCCTCCCTTCTTGACTTACTCCCCATTATTTGGGTCTAATTAGTGTGTAGAATACCCCAAGTGGGTGTAGGGAGTCCCTCCCAATTATTCCTGCTATTTCTGGCAGGTTGGGTCAAAATAGCACTCGGGTTGCCCAATCATTTTCCTCAACTTTAGTTGGCATTTTATTGAGCTCCTGTAATTATTATGATGACCCAACTAAATATTTGGTAGCCCATTCTCAATATTATGGACCCGACAAATAATTTAATTAATCATTCATTAATTAAATATATCATTCTTTTACGTGAAATCATTCGCTAGAAAAATTCAAATACATACTGAATTTTAAATTCAAGTACATCCGGGTGCGGTGTCACAAGTTCACCCCCCCCCCCCTTAACGGGAATTTCGTCCCCGAAATTCACAATGCTCATTCAAACAGAAATGCATAATGTTCCTTCATCGAGGCTTCAGTTTCCCACGTTTCTTCTTCAACTCGGTCACTCTTCCAAAGCATTTTAACCATTGGAACTTTCTTGCTTCTTAGCTTCTTTACTTGTCTATCAAGTATTCCCAGAATACTTAACAAACAACAAATATAGCAGTTAAAGAAGAAGCAGATAGAAAGAAATCGACAAGTTTATACCCAAATCTGGTATACCGTATGAAAACCGGCCGCTGCTCTCCCTGGAGAAGGAGAGCAGCGGCAAACCTAAACTCTCTCTATCTTTACGCCTCTGAACTCTAAGCCTTTTACGATCGTTAGGGTTCCCGTAAGTTAGCCTCCTTTTATAGGAGAAGTTGGCTAACTTACGGGTTACAAGGAAGCCCACGGGCTGATACACATTTGTGGCCCGTATTACACGATTAATTAATAACTACACAAATACAAAGATAACTAACTAGATTGAACACCATAAAATATTCCCAACAATCTCCCCCTTGGTGATCAATCGTGTTGAATCAGCATTGCAGCGCAGATATCTTTGTCTTTGTTGTTATTGAGCTTCCTTTGTCTTTGAACTTGACTTCTGAGGAAGGCTATCTGAAGAAATCCTTGCAATCTCCCCTTTGATGTCTTCTTGACAATTTGATCTTTGATGCCGGGGGTTGAGGGTCCTTCAGTATCTTGCATGTAGTCCTTGCCTTCCAGAAGTTGCTCTTGATCAGCTTGGATGAAGTCCGGTGACACCTCTAGAATGAATATTCTTTGGAGAAACAGGAGACGCCCATGGAATTCATCTTCAGGACACGAGTATTTGACCTCTGTCTCCTCCACAATTTAGTCTTTTTGACTATTTGGAATGAATGCATTTGAAGAGAACTTGTCGGTGGCACAGCGGAACATAATGATTGTTGATTTGTGAGTGTAGCTGACCATTTGATTTGAGTTGTAGAGATAGCAGAGAAGGTGTTGATTTTTGTGATGGAGGAGTGAAGTGTCCCAGAATGATTTGTTCAGTGTTAACAGCATGTGGACCACTCTCCCCCTCATGACGATCCGATGAATCGGGACGTCATGCTTTTATTCTTTTATTCTGCGGAAATAAAAACATGAAAAACAAGCAGAATCTAAAAAAAAGTTAACGTAGCCCCCCGGGGTCGTGAAGACGCCCGCTATCATCACTATAGAGATAAACTCTTAAGCAATGGCCTGAAAATGTTGGTGATTCTTATGTTGCAACAGCAGGACTTCCT